TGGGATGGATGGACTCCACAAAACCCCCCAAGCTGGATTTCTAGAGTGACTGTGTATAGAAGCTGTGCATGGCTGAATATGCAGAAATTTGATAGTGAGGGTTTTTTTGTGGAAATGAAGCTGGGAAGGATGGCTGGAGGTTTGTTAGACATAGGAGGAGGTTATGTGGACACCTCTTTTTACTGTGAAATGTACGCAAAGCTAACACAGGTCAGATAAAATCCTGGATTTTTATAGCCCTCTTGAAAGGTGGGGAAGGTCAACATAATAGTGTGCTGTGCTCCCAGACTGAATCGCAACTACTTACATTACACATTCACGTGTTAGTGAAGCATTTACTGCAGACTGTTATATTTATTGTCTGGATGGAGATGCTCTTTCACCCCACTCATCTTCCTCATTTTTCCCACAGGCTGCGAGAACACCACCGCGCTGCAATTAAGGTGATTCGTAGGATGCAGTATTTTGTGGCAAAGAAAAAGTTTCAGGTGAGTTGTGAATAGAAAGCTCCTTTTCAAAATAAACCCTTTTATTCTCCTGATTCATTGTTTCTTTTAGAAACTTAAATGAATTGTGTTAGCCTCTCTTCAGTAATGGTGAGCTACACCCACCTTCCTCTTCCCCCCTTCAATAGGGTGGTTGTTTAACAGCAGGGTAGTCAACTGTGGATGCACTGGAAATAGGCTAAGCTCCTGAAATGCAGTCTGAATTAAAATGTTATTTTCTGCTAATGGACTTGACCCTTAACCCTGTGTTATCGCTGTCTCTTTCTTGCAGTGCAAACATTCTCATATGTCTCCATTAATTCTGAGCTGTACAGTTGTGCTGAGTCAGTAGGATTAGAGATTAAAATACTACCTCAGCCTTCTTTCTGTCTCTTATTCAATGATAATGAAGTCCTGATAAGAAACCAGGGTGGAAATCTGTTAGCCTATTCGAAGGCTTCTCCTTCCTTTCCCCTTCTCCCCTCTGCATAGGTAGGAGACCTCCTTCCCAGCTGGTGAGCTCTCAGTTCTCTTTACTCCTCGAGCCCTCACTGACATACGTTTCCTGTGTGCTGCTTCACTTGCTGTGATATTGCAAAACTGTAAACATTTAACGTTAGCTAAGTAACCTTGTTGCCTGGTCTGAATAAAAAAATCCTGACTGCAAAATTTTTAAGAATGTGGTTTCTAAACTAGTTTCATTAATCCAGTAACAACATGTGTCAACAGCCTTCAGCTTGATTTAAACCAGGTGAATATATATATGTAAGGAATATGGTACTTTGCTTAAAATTAATTAATAAGCGACAATCTCTGGAAAACAGGCTTCACAACTGAAAATGCAAAGAGTGGGGCTTCACTCCCCAAATCTATTTTCATATACAACCTCACCAGAACTGTTTAGAATAGACTGAAGAGCTTTCCTGCCTTTAATCTAGACACCCCCCCATAAAGGGATGGTGTCCTTTTCCCTTCAGATTTGAAGGGCGCAAAGTTTAGGATCCAAAAGATGACGATGACAGTGATGGCCACCAACAGCCCAGGAGATCAGTGTTTCTGTAAGGCGATGCTTGCTGCAATTTCAAAACCATGATTCTGACGTTGTCACTGAAATTTAGAAGCACTGCCTGAATTCTTTAGCAATTTCTGGTTTGATATTTTTAGTTTTACTAAAATTCATGAGCTAATTTATGGTTAACGTTGCCTGAGCTTTTCAGAAATTTGTTTCAGGTATAATGTATTCAGACTGTCACCATTCAGGCCGAAATCTCCCATGTCCAGCATTTTCTTGGAAAAGAGTGCTTTCAGAAAGTTTCTGCTAGCACATTTCACCTCTTATTTTTACTAGACTAAAATTAGAAAGGCACAACGTCTGGACTACTTGAAAATAATGTTTATAGTCATTTTGTTGAGAATCTCCTTAACACTTGCTGGGCAGCACTTGTAACTTGGCAAGGGATGTGGCCCACTCCAGTGATGTGTCCACTACTGTTCTGTGAAAAACTGCCTAAGTGTGGCCAGTTCCATTTAATTTTTTCTCATTCTAAAATCTGATTGTGATCCTTTGCTCCATCCTAATTACTGAATCATTGCTCTCATAAATTTAGATCATGAAGTATTTTCCATGGTATTAACTAAACTGCTTAGAAACAAGAAATCTACACATTATATATCTACCTCCCAAGTGGTATTTGTCAAAAACAGATTTTGAAAATGCCTGAACACTGTGTGCAACAGTATCCACCTGGCAAATAAACGAAACTCCCCTGCGGCAGATGATTTGATAGAAGCTGAAAAGCATTTGACTGAATAGAATGGGACTATTCAGTTCATACTTAAACTTGTTTGTACTCAGTGTCCCAGTTGCTAATCTGGCTTCTCAGTTGTACTCTCACTTTCACATCTGCAAAAGACCTGGTCTTGGCCATCTACAAAATCCCTTAACAAGGTTGTCTCTCATCCTTCCTTAGTAGTCTTTCTTCTTCCCGTGCTATCAATATTAGCTGTTACTAAAGAACTAAAAGTGTCAGTCAGGCCGAGGTGAAACATATCTCAAATCACTTCTACGTACAAATGATTTTTCTGTCAGAAGCTGAATCATACAAATGCTGTTTCTGTCAGAAGCAGAATCTCCCAGTAGGAATGTATTGGGGATATCTGATACTTCTCCATAATTTCTGAATACAAGGTTATGACCAAGTTTAAAAATTTGGAGAGCACTAGAGGTACAGTTTTCAAAAGCACCGAAGTAACTTAATGCACAAAGTCACCTTGAAATTCAAGCCACAAGGTGCTTTTGAAAATCTCTCCTGTAATTAAGAGATAACCACTATCATTATTCTTTCCTCAAAAGTATGTTGTAAATCTGCTCTGTTCTATTGTATGCACCTAAAATAGTCATAAGAAATGAAAAAGTTTAAACATATGCCAGGTAATGATGTTACAGTTTCTAACAACCAGCCCAATGCAATATCTCAAATTAAAGTAAAGCAGAAGATGTATTTTTAAAATGTATCTTTCAGCACTTAAGAGATCTGCATAGCTCTTTTCTGGTAGATACTTGCCTTTTAAGATTTTTTTTGTTTATGTGAAATGTATCTTCCAAAAAGAAAATTCAGATTATTTTTTTTCTATAACTAATGAAAAAACCCTAAATTTCCTTTGAAGTCCATTGGACTATGATTCATGCTTCAAATTAGATGGAACATCAGTAATTGCAAGGCCAGCACTTAAAAGGAGTATTTTTTTAGAGATTCCTCAAGCTTTTGAGGAGGGGAAGCATAGGAAGAAGGAGAGGAAGAGGAAGGTTTTACAAAATAGGTCCCAGCATGAACCCAGCATGGTTCTTAAACTATACCAGCTGTTTGCAGGATACACCTGTATGCCTAAATTTGCCTAGATACATTTTTTTAAGAGCTCAATTAATAACAGGGGGTGATGGCACCACAAGGACAAAAGTCGGTTAGAAAGCAGAGCCTTCCTGTTAAAAAAATGAAAGAAAATAAATAAAGAGAAGCTAAACAGGGATACAAAGAAATTTTAAAAGACTTGAAAAGCAATTCTTTGTGATACATCACACTTGGACATCATTTCCTCTTTAAAAGGAGAGAAATTTATGTTCTGTTTTAAAGTCCAGGTTTGAATATAGTCCATACGATCATGTCCATGTAGGAACCCAGCGTAATATTATAAAGAATTAATACCTTTTTTATGAATGTGTTTATGCTCTTGTAAAGTCTGTAAGACTGTTTCAAGTGGTGTAGGAAATTCATATTCGACCAGTAGTCAGTGTTAGTCCTGTGCGTCTGTTAAGGTGAATGGCTCATGGTTATGGAAGGATTCTGTAGATTATAGTGAAAACAGTACTTAGAAATTAATGGGTTTATAGGCTGTGTTCACCCCACCTACCAAAAATGAATTTCACGTATTAATCAGATGTCTTTGGCATAGTCTAACCTTACAACTGCATTTCAGAAAAGAAATTACCATGTTTGATTATTCCATTAATGAGTAAATAACCTCTGTCTTCCAATTGAGAAAGTTTCTAAATGTCTCAAGACTTACACACAGGGATGCAACTGTGATATCCATTACAGATCCAGAGACCAGGGATTTGATCTGATTTCCCACTGTCACTTTAAAATCTCTTATTTCTCTTTCCATGTCAATTCTTCCTGTTGAGTAAATCAGTTCCCTTCTAAAATACGTTTTTAACTTGTGTTATGTTTTTCACCATGGCAAATTTTCTATACATAGCATAAACTAAAAATACAGGTTGCAGTTCCACTGATGACGTGAGTAACTGTTGCCTGGTTTGTTACAATTTCACTGGAAAATCTTGCATTTATAGTCTTATAATTCATCATTTTACGTAACTCATTTGTCATGGTATGAATCATGAATTGTGTGTGTAATCTTTTCTAATCTCCACACTGGTGTGTACCAAACAATGTAGTTCAGAGTGTCCTGTGCTACAAAGGATGTTCTACCCATTTTATTTGACTGTTACTTGGTTACATTTCCCAGAATTTCCCCTTGCACAGATTCCCCTCTCCCTTTCCCGGGTCTGCCTCCCTGCACGTGCAGTTACTAAGGAACAGCAATGGCCAGTGGTGCACATTTAATATTTGGCATTGGCTTTTGTGCCTTTCGCAAACTTTTGTAGACGATGGGGGAAATTTTAACTCATTTAAGAAGATTTTTGCCATGAATATTGGTTAATTAGCCGAGGGACAAAATTAAAAAAGAGAAGTAGGTAAGGAAGGATTTGGGGCTGGCTTCTACTTTTGTTTCTTCAATACTCATCCATTGCTGCTGCAGGTTTTTTCCTTTTACAAACCTAACATGTTGTCAACATCAAGAGGATTTTCTCTTGAAAGACCAGCTTTCAGTATGAAGTAACTACAGAAAAATCGGCACCGACTACTAAATACCTTATCCTACTCAGAAATTGGGCTTCATTCATAAATTCTATTTACTCCAGGTTTTCAGTTCTTGTTTTAAAGAGAAAGAAAGAGCCTAGTAAACGAAAAACAGGCACGGCTATACCTACTCTTTCTACTTCAGACACCTGCATCAGAGTACAAGGTCGGCGGGAGAAAGCTTTGCATCTTTGTTCTTACTGAGCAGCTTTTCTGAGCCTGGAGTTTTCAAGCTGATCTTGCAGATTTCTCTCTTGCATGTTTACAGTACAAAAATAATCCAAGAATCCATTTTTTTTTATATCATCATGTTTACCATACTAGTCCATGGAAAGACTTACGGGCTCATGCCATTGTTTAATCATATTTCTTTCCTTGTGGATGTTACTTATGATGTATTTGTGTGCAAGCAGTCAGTGTTGTTGGGAATTTTTCCGTGTGCTCTTTGGTTAGATTGAAGCAATTCCCATTCCTGTTTAGCCTTCCGTTAGAGAGTATCTCACATTCACCCAAGGTTTGCAGTTGGATTTGGGGAATCTGACAGACTGAAATATTATTTGTTTGATGAAATGGTATTATTAATGATTATTAAAATAATGATTCCTGAAATGTGGGAGCTGTCTCCCAGGCAGGTGCAGGGGACGGCATGAAGGTGCAACAGCCAGGTTTTTATATTGTATCCTGTTTTCCTGTGGCTTAAAAAAGAAGGTATTTGTATCATGGGATTGAGGAAAACCTGCAGCATGTGAAATAAGGTTAAGCAGTGCAGAAACATTTCCTGCTTTTGAGGTACGGATGACAAAATATTCCTGATATCTCAAATGGGATACAAATTCTGGTATGTTAGAAGCTACCACTGTAAACTCTTTTCCTTGTTCCCAAAAGATGAAAGAAAGGAAAAGTTGTAACTTAGGGTTACAAGGATTTTACCAAACTTTGAAAATTATCTAGAACAAATGAGTCAAATATAGAATCATAGAATGGTTTGGGTTGGAAGGGACCTTTAAAGGTCATCTAGTCCAACCCCCATGCCGTGAGCAGGGACATCTTCATCTAGAACAAGTTGCTCAAAGCCTGGTCCAACCTGGCCTTGAATGTTTCCAGGAATGGGACATCTGCAACCCCTCTGGACAACCTGTTCCAGTGCTTCACCACCCTCATCATAAAACAATTGTTCCTTATATCTGTCTGAATCTACCCTCCTTTAGTTTAAAACTGTGGGAGTGTCAGCTCTGTGCAGCTGTGGGAGATTCACTATGTTAAGAATTAAATCCTGTGTTACTGGTAAATAATTAAGAGGTAGGTCAGCATTGGCCCGTCAGCCCTGCAGAGCTGTGGGAGATGCAATACTTAAGAGCCAAATCGACATTAGTAAAGGAGCTCGGGTTGGGGAGCATAGTGAAGATGAAAAGCTCTGCTTAAGAGAACTCTGCTTGGTGAGCCAGGCAGGAGCCTGCTCCTGCTCCTGCTCCTGCTCCTGCCCCTGCCCCTGCCCCTGCCCCTGCCCCTGCAGCAAGTCTTGGAGGAGAAGCAGGCCTTGGAAGATAGGTCAGCTCAGAGAAAGTATGGAACTGTATTTGGGAGAGAGGGTTGATGATTGTTTAGTTGCTGAGTTTATCATGAAGTAAGAGTGAAGGTAGCAAGAGCGTATGTATGAACCATTGTAATAATAAAGGGCTTTCCTTCTGCCCCTCAGTGGAGAGTCTGTGCCTCAACTGCCACATAAAACCATTACTCCCTGTCTTATTGCTACAGGCTCTACTAAAAAGTCTGTCCTCATCTTCCTTATAAGCCCCCTTATGCTTTGAAAGGCCTCTCTAAGGTCTCCCCAGAGCCTTCTCTTCTCCAACTGAACCCCCAACTCTCTCAGCCTGTCCTCGCAGGGGGTGCTCCAGCCCCCTCAAGCATCTTCGTGGCCTCCTCTGGACCCGCACAAGCAGGTCCGTGTCCTTCTGATGTTGGTGCCCCCAGAGCTGGACACAGCACTGCGGGGACGGGGTCTCCAAGAGTAGAGGGGGAGAATCCCCTCCCTTGACCTGCTTGGCTTATCATTTATTGTTACTGTACTGTTTGAGTGATTTGATTAGCATCTTTAAGAAAAAATTTCCTACAAAATGGTAAATTCAGGTGTTACTGTCCAGTCTAATGTGTGAAGTTTACACCCTACTCTTCTCCTCTACTGTTTCCTCTTTTCTGTTTTGTTAGAGCTTCATTGCTGCTTCTCATATGTATCTCTAGCACCGATTGGACTCTGGTTTCTAGATGTAGGATTAAGATATTTTTAATTTGTGACTGCGCTTCGACAAGTTCATTCACTTGCTTCCCAGTTAGTCTTGGTTAAAATTATGGTCTTTAATACTTCGCAAAAGTGTTTTTATTACTAATAGATCAGATTAAGGCTTTCCTACGTATGAAGTGCAAATTACAGACACAGAGCTTTCTCCCTCATCATTCCTTGCACCAATATTTTCCCAGTAGATATGAAAGCTCAGCCAGTCTTTCTGTAAGATGAGATCAGTCATGCACCTTCAGCCAGGATTCTGCTTTAACCTTCCCATGGGAAGAGCTGAACTGAGAACTCCAGCTGTCTTGCTGCTGACTGAGAATGAGGGCTTGCATGTCTGGTGGCTGAGGAGTATGAACCTTGTTTCAGAAGAAACTAGAGTGATTACAAACTTCTGAGCAAAGTGCCAGATATACTTTTTTGGTCTCGGGTTTGGTGGATAATCTCTTGAAAGGCAGGTAGACCTGCAGTAACTAAAAGATGGATGAAATCAGAACTGTCATAATTATTCCACAAAAAAATGTATGATCGTGGCAACAATCAAAATATCTCAAATGTTTAAGCAGTGTTAAAAGGGGTTCAAAGAACTTACTGTCCACTCTTGAAAAAAATCTACATTACTGTAGACCATTCCTACATCCTTGTGGCTTAAAGGCATGTTTTCTGCTTTCTATTTTACAGCAAGCTAGAAAACCCTACGATGTCCGAGATGTTATTGAGCAATATTCACAGGGCCACCTCAACCTGATGGTGCGAATCAAGGAGTTACAGAGGAGGTATGTCGATAAAGTTCAGTGTCCGTATCTGTAAACATCAGCACAGGGATGTCTGTAAATGTCTGTCAGTGACTGGGGCTGGCGATCAAAAACTGACAGGGGTGCAGGGGCTGTATTGGTAGGACTGTGCAAAGTTAGGGAATATAAAATGACATTCAAGTAAAGTTTTCTTTTCAAGAAGAGGAAGGAAAAGGCAAAGAGCTTAAAAATCTGATGATCAGGACTTAAAATTTTCATTATATTTACATGTATTGCCTCAGGCCCTGCCAGCTTTGACTATACACTGTAATCCCTGTATGTTAGGGACTGTATTATACTATAGTGTGAAATACTGTCACCTGCTCTGGTAGAATTGCCTTTAGGAACAAACTAAGAGATGACAGATAGATGCCACAAGAAGAACAAGGAAAAGAGGAAACAATGCTGTTCACATGGGAAAGTGATGGGCACAATAAAACTTTACAGTGACCAAAGAAGCTAAAGACCAATCCACATCCAATTATGGTTTTTTATTATTTTTTTATCTTCAAGCTATTCTTAGCCCAAAACAACAGCTTCACTTACAGTAGAAACCAGAATGATTTGAACTTCAGTTTGCTTGTTTGTGAAGAGTTCTTGTTCCAGCTAGTGAAAGTGAAGATTCTGGTTCGGGCTGATACAAACTAAAAATTATTCTTTTTGTTTTATAGGTTGGACCAATCCATAGGGAAGCCATCTCTTTTTATTTCTGTCTCAGGTAAGTTGATATGAAGGATGTGTCTAAAGTTAAACCAGTGAAGATATAATCAATGGAAAATACTTGTTAAAATACTTTTTATTTTGTTGTCAAACTTTTAAACAGTGCCAACCAGTGTGGTCTGAAGTTTAGGTATCCAGAATAATATTTAGTCACGAACACCTTTAAAATAGGGTTGTTCTTATTTAGATATTTAAAGCACCTACTTTCACTGAAGTTTTCAAAATCTAATCTCTCTGAGACTAACCATATTTTCATTAAAATGGTGTGCTGTGATTACAGAGTTTCTATGAAATCAGTAATATTCACATAAATCTTTGATATCTTTGAAAAGAGGATGGAAAAGGAGCACAGAGTACTAAGTTTATTTGCAACAAGTCTGGCGAATGAAAACTCTCCATTAATGTAATTTTCAAACTCACATTTCTTTATAGTTTATAGGGGGGAAAAAATAGATAAAATGTTACCAAATGCATTGTTCAGGTTGGCTGTAGAGCCTTTTGCATAGTGGTATATTGTTTTTAAATGGCAATTAAAACATTAACTAAATTGGGAACAGTTTTGTTCTCCCAGGTTAAAATATAAAACTAAGGTTGAAAGTGCCTTAAACTTAAGGGCTATTAAAGCCATGGTGTGGGCTACTGCTATAAAAAGAAACAAAAAGCTGCTTTTAAGGAATAAAACTACCAGCTTGGCAAAGGTGTTCAGTTACACTGCGTTGGTGGGCTAGTTAAACACACCCTGTTGTGGCTTGCTGCTATTTTGTTATACCACCATATATTAATTTGAAAATGTTTCTTGTTTCACAGAAAAAAACAAAGATCGAGGGAATAACACGATTGGTGCCAGGCTGAACAGAGTGGAGGACAAGGTAAGCCTCAGTTAGACTGGCAGTGAATGAGGACATGGTCTGTGATCGAACAGTGCTTGTTTCATAGGGATGTGGGGGAAAATTCAGCTTAAAATAGAGTTAAATGCCTGGCTTTTCCTGGGGATGAAGCATAATTTTTGTGGTAGATTGCATTTTTGGTTCTTTCTTGTCATTTTAACAGAATAAGAAAAAAAACAAACTTCAATTGATTTCAGTCTCTTTGGGACTTGCTTGGGGTTTTGATTTTTTAATTGTATATATTACACATGTCTCAATGTTTTACTTCCTTCCTCCACAATAGATAAAAGACTCTGTTCCTTTAATACCTCAGTGCGTTACGGTCCCTGAGATTTCCCTTTGATCGTTGCTCTGTTGTTTATATAACTCCACCTACAATTCCTTGGAGAGAGCGATAGCAAACCTTGTGCTGTCCTGGTTCTCATTCCTTGTGACAAATGGAGTTTCTCCTTCCAAGTGACGTGAAGCCAGAAAAAAATCAGACTTATTCTATACTCACAAATTAACAATTAAGTGCTTTGTAACTCTTTATTTCAGTGCTGGCTGTTCTTGACAATTAGGTGACAAGTAGAGGCTATGTCATTGTTGAAAAATAGAGGTTTGTCTGTATTAAGGAAAGAAAGAGTGAAGAGAAATGCTGTGGATCCTTTACTGATCTCTTACAGTGATTTGATGGGGGGTGGAAGAATTTCTTTACCTGAGTATTATTTCACTTGTGTATCTGTACTGTTCATTCGATACTAAGGAATGAAAGTTTTTCCTGAGGAAAGGAGTTTTCAGAGTGCTTCTTCCACACCTGGAAGTCTGTTATAACCTAATGAAGGATTTGTTCTGAAGAAATATCCAGCAAATAGTCTGAAAGCCAAAAGAGGGGTGAGCATCCCAAAGGATGTGAACTGAGCACCCCGATCTGTACTCATTCACTTGTGACATAGCCAATTTTATACATTTCTCCTGAAATACTCAAGATAAACTTGAATGATAGTACTCAGAACTGTACTTCAGTCTAAATGACATTTTAAAGGGAACAGGTGGGTTTTTGGTGACCAGCAGAAAGGGTGAGGTAGAAGAGGGGGAGGTACAGTGCATTCTGCACAAAGAAGAATCACTGTGCAGTGCTCACTCAGATCTGAGGTTGGCAAGTGTTTTTACACATGGAAGCCCTTTCCAGAAATTCTGGATTACATTTATTTATTTTCTCTCCGTAAGGTCAACTAAAAGTGTAGAACACTAAAAAATGCCTTGTGACTTATGACAAAGAGCAATGACTTTTCGGTTTGGACAAATAATTCTCAAATGACAGCTAAAATAGCTTCTCAGTGCTATTTGTAAAATCTCCAACGAGTCTGGGAAAGCTTTGGTGGGGTACTGCCTCAGAGATAAGCTGTTTTGGGGCTATTAATTACTCTTTTTACATCCTTACAAATAAGTACACCGTGAATTTAGAGTGACTGTTGGTTTATGTCTTGTAATGGGACTGTAAAACACTCCCTGTTTAATTTTAGTATAGCCGGGTTAAAATTTATCCTTGTTTTAAGTAACAGACCCTTCTTTCTTTGCAGTTGCATGAGGTCATCTGTGGTTTCAGAGTTGTATGTTATCTGCCCTATACAGCTAGTCCTATCTGCAGGAATTTTATCTGAAAGTAGCTGAAAGGCTAAAAATAGAGAATTTCAGTTGGACTCGGCAAACAGTGGTATACATGACAACACACTGGCAACACTGAAATCACATTTTTGCTGCAGCTGCAGATGGTGGCCAAAGCTGTTTTTTTAGTGTTTTTGCTTTCAGAGACTGGCCTTTGCTTTCCTGTAAAGTCCATGGTACGTGGTATGCTTTCAGCATACAGTTAAATCCTTCCTGAGCTGAGCACTGGATAGTGATATGAGCAAAGGATATCTGTATCAGCTTGGTTTTAAGGTGACTATATATTTTACACAGTTACATGCCATTTGGTTTGTGAATTAGTTTTGAGTCTTGGACTGCTGAAGGAGATTTTCAGTGGTGCAGGCTGGTGTTAGCATCCAATCACCTTCTGTTTGCAAAATCTCCTTTAAGTCATTTTAAAATGAGACATAGCCTTCTGAAATGATCTGGATGCTCCTGCTACAGCAAGAACTTAGATGGTACTTCCCACACCACAGGAATAAGCCAAGTACTTCTATTAGATCTTTCTCGAGGATAGTCAGTGTGCTCCTTGCAGCAGAAGGCTGGTGTGTACAGTTGTCAGAAAATCTGTTAAAGCAGAAAGAGAAGAAACCCTGAACTTTGATCTCTTAAACTTTTGGGTGCTTCTGCTTATGGGTGTCTGCTGTCAGCACAGCATCTGCTACTTGCACATCACAGAGGCAGAGTCCAATTTTATGTATATTCCTACAGGCTTTTGTGGAGGTAGATTTTAACTCAAAGTGTTTACAAATAAAGATATTTCTGTCTTCAGGAGTATTTGATTTCTGGGACATCATGTCACTCTTGCAAAGCTTTTGTACTTGTGGCCCAAGTAAACACGTTCTAGAGACACATGTACGGCCAGTGGTACAGAGGAGATGGCACATGAGAGGGACATTTTAAAAATAAAATGCTTAGAGTCAAAGAGCGTTGTATTGTCAGGAATTATGATACTTTACAGCATAAATCTGAATTTTCAAGTATTGAAATCAGCAAAAAAAATCGTGTTTCCTTCTTTTGAATTTAAGAACATGTTCATTTGAGGCGGAGGGTCCTGTAGAGTCTGTTCATCTTGCGCACTGAGTGAAACTTTGACCTTGTAATATATACAGTTAGTGATAGTGTAAAGATTGTTTCCTAATATGTAAAAGCCAAGGGGATGAATCATGCTTGCAGGAACCTTCCTGCAGATGCCTTCCCATAGAATTTTGTAATTTTGGCAAGCAACTGAAAAGGTGATTTTGTAAATGTAACTAGAAACTACACAACCAGATAGGTCTTTGTGAGAAGAAATCACAATCCAACGTGTAATCACAGCATATTTTGACTTTGCCATTGTTCTCTGTGCTTATAAAGCTGAGGGTAGCAAATGCTCTGTCCTTCTAAAGGCGCGTTGCTGTATGAGGGCAAGCAGCGGCAGCACCCGCCGTGTCCCCCCCCCGCTCCCTCAGGACACCGGCCAGCAGTGGCCCAGAAGGCACGTTGCTGCAGTGGTGCCGCGCTCAGGCTGAGCTCACAAACCCCGCGGAGCAGCAATGGTCCAAGTGTGTGCATGGAGATGCACCCCCTCGGAGAAGGGTGTTGAGCCAGATTACAGCAGCAAATCGATTTATTTACGGTGACCAGCCTTCTCTCTTTTTATCCTGAAACATCTGTGCATGACTATACAGCCTACCCTCAAGAAACCTGGCCACTGCTGGCTTGGTACCAAAATCAAAATCAAACCCATTTTTTCCAGACAGGCCCAGCTGTGTGTGCACAGGGCCGTTAATCCGCGTGCAGGGAGCGCTACGTGCCACTGCTTTCATTCTGGGTGCGCCCAGCAGCTCCGTCCAGGAACAAGCCCACAGCGCACCCAAGCACTTGCGTGTGCTACATCTTCTCTTTTCATTTCACCGCTTTAATTTTAGTTTGCTAACTTGTTAGAATAAATGAATCTGTTCTTTTTTTAACCTTTTGTCAACCATTAATTTAGATATAACAGGTGCAGTTTGCACTTTTCAGATAATTAGCTGGCCTTGTTGCTTGGCTGCCCTAAGATAATTCAGTGTTAAATATAGGCACTGCACAAAAATGTCTAGAATATACAGTATGGGCTAAAACTGGCAGTCCCTGCACTCTCAACAGCCTGTTGTGCCTGTAGACCAAACTGCCCCAGATGTCAGTAAGCCCTGCCTATGGACATCCCAGACTAGGATAACAAAACCCAGGTTTACAAAAAGTTTTAAAAACCATTCCGAGCAGTAGACACTATGCTGTATTCTCTGTTAAGTTGTTTTTAAAATAGGACTTAACTTTCTGCAATGATTTGGACACTTCAAAGATTGCCTTTTAAAGAAGAGTTACAGCAATCCAAAGCAATTTTCTGGATGTCCCTTCTATATCTGACAGTACAGTATTAATATCAGTATTGCCAAGGTCACAACTAAAATCTTACAATAGTCTTTGTCAGTTATACGGAACATCAGGAGTAATGCTGAAGTTGTAGAGATTTAAATGGAGATTTCTGTTTATACAGAAGTACATAGTAGTGAGGCATGTGACATGACCCCTTTTAATGTGAATCCAACAATTCTGCAAGGCAATATTCATTCCAAGCATATGCACATTTTGCATACTTACAGCTGAAAATGTAAACTCTTGTATTCTGACTAGTAGTAACCCAGAGAGCAACAGGCAGAACTTCAAACATGCGGTGCAGCACTGAACAGAGAATCATTTCCAGTTTTCAGATATACTTTAAAAGCAGATAGCACCACCTTTTAAATGAAATAAAACCAAATCTATCATGTGAAAGCATCTACCCTAAAATAGATGCGGCTGTGCTGCTTGGGTTGCCTACTGAAAATCTGAACTGATCTTCGAAACCAAAACTGAAAGGAAGTTCTCTTTGCACAGTTCATTTGAGTTCTGGTTATGGTGATTTGTTTTTCTGTCTTTCATCTACACTGTCTTCGATTGTTGAATGTATAGACCCCATGTTCAGTAAAACTGCAAGGATGTGATAAATATTGGATATGTTTTTCACTGTGAATACCAAGTATGGAACTTTTAAAGAGAAATAAGTGCAAAGGCTTTATTTGAGGTGGCTTTCAAAAAGTGGTGGAGACCTGTATGTTACAACATTTGTATACATGGTATGACATTTTCTTCTGGCTGATTAATTTTCTGTAATTGTTTCACCAGAGCACCGATTGTATCCATACGTGTATTAGGAACTCTGTTAAACACAGTCCAGATGAGCAGAATGACCATTGATAAGTCTAGGTGCAGTTTCTGATTTTACTCTTGCTCTTTCCTGCTCTTGCTTTCTA